CTCTCCTCTCCTCCTCCTCTTCCTCCTCCTCTCCCCTCCTCTCCCTCTCCTCTCCTCCCCTCCTCTCCCTCTCCTCCTCTCCCCCTCTCCTCCTCTCGTCTCTATAACCCTGGAACCCATTCCCACATGTTGTCTCTGTTCCCTGTCAGAGTTCAGCGGAGCGTTTCGTGCAGAGCGGTGAGCAGAGAGAGCTCTGAGACTCTGCAGCTGAGTCGGGGTCTGCGGTCTGAAGCCGACTCGGATCAGGTTCTGCTTTGGGTCCGAGGCGATGCTGCAGATTTAGAGATTATCGAGTGTTAACGCTGAGAGACGGATTGGACGTGAAGTCATAGATGTTCTTCCAAGAGAGAGAGGTTCAGATTCCAGAGTCACGATGTACGAGCGTCTCCGCGGTGTCTCTGGAACAAAGTGTCAGAATCTCCAGAGGTTCAGACTCCAGAGTCACGATGTACGAGCGTCTCCACGGTGTCTCTGGAACAAAGTGTCAGAATCTCCAGAGGTTCAACGGAGCTAATGTTTGAGCCTTTGTGATGTCGAATGTATTGTGGCTTTTCCTCTGGATAATCATTACTACAGTTCCCAGAATGCTTTGGGTTGAGCTTCTTAATTTGTTCTCTGTGCGTTAAAACATTTTCAAACAGACCCTGCTGATCTTTTGACTGAGTTATAACTGGAAGAAGAAGTCCTTCAGTCACCACGGTGCTTCAGAGCAGCCGTGCACCTGCAGCTTCTCCCTCAACAGCTGTCATTACAAACATCTGGTGAATAATGATTATCTCTCACAACAAAACATTTAGCTCTTCTTAAAGATCTGCGATAAGACAGAGCACTTCTAACAGACACTGGATCTCCAGTTCCTCCTCTGAGAGCAGCTCCACAGAAACATAAGCAGAGAGTCATTTCTCCCTCTGATCCTCTCCAAGTGTTTACGTGAGATCCGTCTGCCTCCAGAGGAACAAGATCTCTATCTCTATCTCCCCCTCCTCCCAAATACCACATCTGGCCTCGTGCCATCAAGAGCAACAAAAACATGTGCAGGAACCACAGAGAGGCTGTTAGGAGGTACAGTGAAGGGTTAACAGCTGATGGGACAGTAGAGGGTTAACAGCTGATGGTACAGTAGAGGGTTAACAGCTGATGGGACAGTAGAGGGTTAACAGCTGATGGTACAGTAGAGGGTTAACAGCTGATGGTACAGTGAGTAGAGGGCTAACAGCTGATGGGTCAGTAGAGGGTTAACAGCTGATGGTACAGTGAGTAGAGGGTTAACAGCTGATGGTACAGTAGAGGGTTAACAGCTGATGGGTCAGTAGAGGGTTAACAGCTGATGGTACAGTAGAGGGTTAACAGCTGATGGGACAGTAGAGGGTTAACAGCTGATGTTACAGTAGAGGGTTAACAGCTGATGGGACAGTAGAGGGTTAACAGCTGATGGGACAGTAGAGGGCTAACAGCTGATGGGACAGTAGAGGGTTAACAGCTGATGGGTCAGTAGAGGGTTAACAGCTGATGGGTCAGTAGAGGGTTAACAGCTGATGGGACAGTAGAGGTTTAACAGCTGATGGGTCAGTAGAGGGTTAACAGCTGATGGGACAGTAGAGGGCTAACAGCTGATGGGACAGTAGAGGGCTAACAGCTGATGGTACAGTAGAGGGTTAACTCACGTCACATTGGAAGGGCTTCTCTCCTGTGTGAGTCCTCATGTGTTCGTCCAGTCCTCTCTTCTGGCTGAAGGCTTTGTTACACTCGCTGCATTTATAGGGCTTCTCCTGCAGAGATACACACACACACACACACACACACACACACACACACACACACACACACACACACACACACACACACACACACACACACACACACAATTATAAGTATAGTATGCAGTATATTTACTGAGTGTTCAGTGCTCTAAAAACACTCCATTATAAATAAAAATCCTGAACTCAAATAGTTACTTAAGTAGAAGTTCATTCGTATTGTTAGCTAAATAAATAAAACTAAATTAAAAAAGTGCTATTTTATTTTTGCATTATTACAGCTATTTTTGCAAACTTGTATATATTTGTTCAAATATTTATTGTGTTTGCCCCACTAAATGTTTGCATTTTTGTCTTTTGCACAATCTATATTACATGAATATTTACATTTGCATAATTGCATATTATTTTCTTGATTGTATTTATTCTGTATGTGTGTACCGAGGGGTCCAGGCCCAGTCCGGCTCGGGTCAGGATGATTGAACTCAAAACGTTACTTAAGTAGAAGTTCATTAGTATAGCTAGCTTAATACTTAAAACAACATTTAAAAAGTGTTATTACAGCTATTTTAGCATTTTCTTGTTTACCTTTTCAAAATGTTAAATATGTTTGTCCGATGACAGTTTTTGCTTTGTTCTGTATATATTTGTGTTGCTATATGTCATACCTTTTTGCACTATTTTAGATATTTTCTTGGTGTTGTTTGTTGAGTGTGTGTGTGTGTACCGAGGGGTCCAGGCCCAGTCCGGCTCGGGTCAGGATGACTGCCAGCGCGATGTTCCTCAGCGCTGCAGACCAGTGAGTGTCGATGTAAACGGCGTCCGTGACGTACGGGACGTTACGCAGCAGCAGGCCGGCCAGCAGCATGCCTGCAACACGGGACAATAAATCATTTAAACATATTTTATTATTTATATTTAAAACACATTATTGGGTCATAAATATTATTTGTTATTGTTAAATTATTATATGTATTTTGTTATATATATATATAACTTTATTTTTATTTTGTTTATTTAATTTTATTAGGATTTATTACATTTATAGTCATATAAACATTTATAAATATGATCAAAATATAATATAAAAATAGATCTATACTTTTGTCATATTTTTTTGAATAATTTATGATTATCTAATATTTTGAAAACAATTATTCGAATGAAAGGTAATAATTTTTGATGTCAGTTTTATTGGGTATTCCATCAGACAGGTGTGAGGTGTTGGGTCGTACCAAGTAGAGGAGGGAAGGGGGGGAGCGTGGGCAGCTGGATCAAACCAACCAGCTTCCCCCCGAGCACCGAGCAGAGGAACAGAACCACGAGTCCAAAGAGGTTTCCTCCAGGTAAACACTCACTTCCTGTTATAGACCACACCACCCCGAAGAGCAGGGCGAACACACACCCTGCACACACACACACACACACACACACACACACACACAAACACACACCAGAGGAATGTTACAAATAGTGCAAGAAATGTTTTTAATATTACCAAAGCAAATTTAATTGTGCAAACAAATAAAATACACACACACACACACACACACACACACACACACACACACACACACACACACACACACACACACACACACACACACACACACACACACACACTCACTCACCTTTCGTGATGACGAGGTTGAGGAGGCCTCTAGGTCGTGGACATTTGTTCTTCAATCGGATACAAGACGAGCAGCAGGAGTCGGCCATCTTTATCTGCTGACAACATTAGCCACTTTGATGAGAACTTTGACAACAGAAACAGTGATAGCAACTTTAGCATCAATGATGATCACTCTGACAACTGTAGCATCAATGACAACTTTACTGAGCAACAGAAATATTGGTGGCAGCTTTATGAACTGCAACACTTATGAAAACAGCGTTGCCATGAATCCTTAATATCAGAATTTCCTTGTTAATGTTTAAAGCTTTATTTCAACAGATTTCTGAAACATGGAACTTCTCCTTCTGAATCTCTGTTCCAGTGAAGGAACAGTTGGTATTTTAGGCAACATTGTTCTTTAACTTTGCAGCTCATTTTCCCCGTCATAACTCAGAGACATGTCCTCAGTTGGCAATCAATAAATTACAGCAAACATTCAGCAGAAGTTGCAGAGAATTTAACATTTGTAACTTTTCTTCAGTTTCAATATGAGTTCAACCAGGAGCTGATCAAAGATAATTCAGATTACTTTAAAAAAGAACAGTTGAATCAAACAACAACTCACTTCCTGTTGCTCTGACAATTGCTATTCAATCACAACAAAACAAAATCAGCTTTATTTACTTTGCTCTTTTTGGTTATTTTTGGTTTTAAGTAAGCCTCAGAGTGTCTCATTGGCGTTTCTTTGCAAATTTTCTATAAATAGTTGATCTTTTCACACGGTTATCTGATGGCAACTCCATGTGTGCTTGTGTGTGTGTGTGTGTGTGTGTGTGTGTGTGTGTGTGTGTGTGTGTGTGTGTGTGTGTGTGTGTGT